AAAATAAAAACAATATTGGAAGATCAATAAAGAGACTACAAAAACTACTACAGGCAAAAATTTAGTATATGATAGAAGGAATTATAAATAAGTAGGAAAGGAATATGTTAGTTAATACATGGTATTGGAACCACTTATAAAAAAACAGACATGTCCCTGTATATTTTTTAATAATATTTTCGTGATAAAATATTCTGTTTATCAAAAGCATACATAGAAAGCTAATTTCAAACTGATAAAATGGTTCCAATATAAGCAATAAAAATACTCATGTAAGTAGTTTACATAGATCAATAAAAGATAAACAATCCAAAAGAAAAAAAAAAGCTAATGACATAAACAGGCCAATTTACAAAAGGAAGTACAAATTTCCTATCAAATTGGCAAAGATGAAAAATTATGTTTGACAAGGGCACAAGAAATGGGCGCTCTTGACAATGCCATGGACAATCATTCTTGAAGGAAACCTGGCATTTTGCATGAAAAGCCTTAAAAGCGTGTATTATCTTTCCCATTACATAAAGTATCTAAACTAGGCAAAATCATAAAGAAAGTAGAACAGATACTACCAGGAGCTGGGGGAGGAGGAATGGAGAGTCACTATTTGAAATAATGAGTACAGATTTTCTACTTAGGATGATGGAATCACTGTAAATGTAAATGTAAAATGTAATATGGGGATGGTTGCACAACATTTGAATATACTTAATGCCACTGAATTGTTTACTTAAAAATGATTAAAATGGGGGTGTCTGGGTGGCTCAGTGGGTTAAGCCTCTGCCTTCAGCTCAGGTCATGATCTCAGGGTCCTGGGGTGTAGCCCCCATTGGGCTCTCTGCTCAGCAGGGAGCCTGCTTCCCCCCCTCCGCCCCGCCTGCCTCTCTGCTTACTTGTGATCTCTGTCAAATAAATAAATAAAATCTTTTTTAAAAAATGATTAAAAGGGTAAACTTTTATGTTGCATATGTTACCATGATTTTTTAAAATTCCACTGCTTGGCCGTACACATTTATTAAACCGTTTTTCCATTAGTGAATATTTAGGTCTTTCTCAAAGTTTTAACAAATAAAAAGATCATGATTTAAAAAAGTATATCCCTGGGGTGCCTGGGTGGCTCAATGGGTTAAAGCCTCTGCCTTCGGCTCAGATCATGATCTCAGGGTCCTGGGATCGAGCCCTGCATCATCAGGCTCTCTGCTCAGCAGGGAGCCTCCTGCTTCCTCCTCTCTCTCTCTCTGCCTGCCTCTCTGCCTACTTGTGATGTCTGTCAAGTAAATAAATAAATCTTTAAAAAAAAAAAAAAAGTATATCCCTTTCTGCCCATGGGTCCTGTCCTCATGCTCTAATAAAACCGCCATTTGGCACACACACAAAAAATAAAAATAAAAAATAAAAATAAAAAAAATTATATGCCTAGACCCAGCATTTTTATTTGTTAGTATTTATCCTATGGTAATAATAAAGAATATAGGAAAGGTATATATTTTCCTCCTAGCTCTGTCTATAATAATGAAAAGTGGGAAACCTAAATAACTCAGATACAGGATTGGTCAAATAAATGATCATATACAGTAGAAAATTAGGCAGCCATTAAAAAGTATACCACAGACATATCTACTGATATTAAGCAGAAATGATTAAAAATAGTATGTATGCAGGGCGCCTGGGTAGCTCAGTCAGTTAAAGCCTCTGCCTTCGCCTCTGGTCGTGATCCGAGGGTCCTGGGCTGGAGCCCCGCATCTGCTCAGCAGGGGGCCTGCTTCCCCCGCCCCCATCTCTCTGCCTGCCTCTCTGCCTACTTGTGATCTCTCTCTCTGTCAAATAAATAAATAAAATCTTAAAAAATAAAAATAGTATGTATGTAAACTTTAAAGGAAGTAAATATTCATACATGGCATAGGAAAGTACCTAGAAGAATATCTTTGCCAGTGGTTATCTCTGAGTGAATGGGATTTGTTACTTATTTAAGCTCTTCTTCTTATTTGTTAGCATTTTTCTACAATGAGCATGAACTCTCTTTGGAGAAAAAAAAAAAAAGACTAACAAAAGAAAATTTTGAAGAAATCACTGAAAAATGCTCCTAGTTATTTTTCCTCAAAAGTAACACCATGCTTTCCCTTACTATACAAAGCACTCCCCCAAAAAAAGAAAACACTAAGTGACAGTCTGTTTATTATTCTCTGACATACCAGCAGATAATTCTTTTCCTGAACAAAATAACTATAAATTCGGTTATATTAAGAAATGCCTTTGGGCTTTTGGTTTGCTTCTAAGCTGTCCATTATAGGTATATGTGCAAAGCATCTAATGAATGAAGGAGATGCTGTCACTGGAGAGTAAGGCTACACATAGAGCATTCGAGACATTCAAGTATCTGCACAGGACCTAGTAAAATGAGAGCAGGGAAACTGTAATGCCTTATACAGTATCCCAAACACTTGTGCAATTGTAGAGGAAATAATACAATGAGTTTGGAGGTATAAGGCAAACAGATCCAGTCCCAACAACATTTTGCTTTGGGTGTCCCACACATAAGTTGTAAATCTGGAACAGGAAACTTGAAATCATTAAGGTCACATATTTATAACATCATATTCAATTAGGTTAGAAAAGTGCAATTTCTGTCATCATGTCATAAAAAGATGTGTTTTTGTCTCAGATCTCTTATAGGAAAAGTCCCCTATATTGTTACAGATAGGGCTGTTTTCAATCAGTTACAAGGAGCAATTCAATTACTAGATGGTTTAGTGCAGTAACTGACTCCAGACTAATTTAATTTCTTTAGGTCTCTAAAGATCAATTGATCTGATTTGACCCATCCCCAAAGGCTGTTTAGGGAAAATTCAGACTTAAATACCTGGAAATGAAATCCAAAACCTTGGCCAATTTCACACTAGTTAGGTCATCCTGCAAACTTTCAGCTGGTCACAGAAGATGCCCTCTTCGCCCTCAGACCATTGAAAGCTACTCAGCTTCATAGACATGTGAGTGCTCCCCACAGCAGGATGTTTATTCGATCAGTGGAAAATGTGCCTGCATGCATTATCAAATCTACTGTTGTAAAGGGCAGTCTGGGGACTCGTATCTCATGAGCACACGTGCAAATAAGGGGCTATTTTTGCTCCGGGAGTAGTTTATTAAGACTCTTAGACTTACACTTAAATGGGGCAAAAAATTATAATTATTTCACATTTTTAGATTTATAAAGTGTTTCATAAATGCCACCTTACTTGATTCTCATAATAAACTTTTGAATGAGCGGGGTTATTTTTCCCATCCTCTAGGTGAGGGGACAAAGGCTAGGAGACTTCTCCAGGATCACTCAGCCAGTAGAAGGCAGAGCTGGGACTCTAACCCATGAGTTTGTCTCCCAGTAGATCATGCTCACCCCTTGATCTGAGACAGAAGGTAAAAACACAACACTACTGTCGCACTGAGCCACTGTCTTCATTCTCACCTGCTACCTGACTGAAATGGAGAGGTTCATTGCTTCTGGTTCTCCAGAAATAAGAGATGAAAAAGGTCATGCCTGAATGACAGCAGCCTTTATCAATGGACTTATTTGTCACCCACACTGCTAATGCCACATTCTCTGTGACTTGGGTCTCAAGGCCGACCTGCTTGCCTATGTCCCACCTCACTGGGGAGCTATCCATTTGGTGTCTCAGTGCAGTCTGCAATCGACTTTCAACCACAAGCTCAAGTTTCCTTCCCTGATCTCAGCACCCTCAACCATTTGTCAAGTTCTCCAATAACTTAATTTCTCCCTTCTACTTAAATCCCACAGCACCTGCTCCACTCTCAGCCTCTCCTGCTGGCTTCTCTGCCTCCCTACTGAGCCTCTATATCTTTTCCTCCAAATCAAAACCACCCCGTGATACCTGCTACTTGGGAGGGCAGAGGGAAGGATCAGACAGCTATTGCTAAAATGTGCAATGACCCCTTCATTTGCATTTCTAGGACAAGTTGGAGAGAAGTGGCAAAATCAGGAGATGTGACCATGTGTCAGGTAACAAAGAGTGTGAAAGACATGTGTAGCAGCTGGTGGGGAGGAAATCACACAAAGATTTGGAGGTAAAATACACCAGAGGCCTGGTGGCTAGGGTATGCCACCTGTCAAATGTAGACTCCGGGCCACACAAAAGACGTAGAGAAGATGAATACGGTCTAAAGATCTAATGTATAACATAGTGACTAGAGTTGGTAACACTGTATTGTATAATTGAAGTCTGCCAAGAGAGTAGAACTTAAATATTCTCACACAAAAAAGAAGTACAGAAAGTTCCATAGTACGGTTAAGGGATACAAATAATCAGTTAGGTTGAAAAATCTTCTCCCTAAAAAAAATGCATTATTTTTTGGCATTCCTATGGGCAAGCTGCGGATCTCAACATAGACATTACTCACCACATAGAGGATCTCACACTGCATAAACCATTTTAACTAAGTTAAAAGTTGAGTAAGTTACAGGCACATGATTCTCGTTTGTCTTCTTCAAGGTTCTGAGACCTGATGTCTCTCCTATTAAATATAAGCAGTCTATGCCACATTTAAAATATGGGCCTTGAATTAAATGACATCTCCTTGCTTCAAAGTTCCAAACAACTCATATTCTTCATGCTAGCAAATATGTCCACTTCAGAAAGCAAAGGCTATCAAGATTCCATGTCTCTGCAGATTACCACCTAAGAGAGGAAGCTTAGCATCATCAAAAGGACTGAGTCTTTGATAAGGAAGAAATCCTATTTTTTACAGTTGAGTCAATGTCCTGACCAAAGAAACCACCTCCTCACAAACACAGATGCAGGTGCGGCAGCTGTCCCAGTTTAAGCAGCCACATGTCTACAGGGCTTCTAGGTGGAAGGGAAGGTGGGGTGTGGGATCGGAGACTATCTACAGTAAGGTTATGGCACTTTGGCGTTGAAAGGACTGTGTTCTTACAAACCCACTCTTCTCTTTATCTTATCTGGACAGAAAAGTAGATATAAAATTCTCATTACCTCTCAATGTCAGTGAGCCTGGAGGAGTCCCGGAAGCCTTTGGCAAAAGGGTTGCTATCTATTTTCAGCTTGGTTATCTGCAAAGGAATGAATGGGTAACAGAACAATATCATTTCCGAGGTCAAGGAAGTGAAATCAGAAATAAAGAGTTTGTTCATTTCCCAGGCCACCCCAAGAATACTTGATGTTTCTTAGGATCTTGAGAAGGGTGGAAAGTGATAGAGAAATTCACGGGAGGGATGACTCACAGCCAGGTGGGACAACTGGTCAGGGAGGGCCTCAGAGATGAAGGATTTGAGGACTGGCTGGTCTCCTAGAAAATAGCCTGAAGGTCAATGGATAGAGAGAGTTAGGGAGGGGGCCTTTCCTGAATGGCCCAGTGAAGAATTTAAGAGAACCCTGAAAGGATGGGGCTTGCCTGGGGAATGGGAGAGCCCTAGAAGTCCAGCATTGGTGGGTAATGGGAAACACAAACAAAAATACTGCCTCCTGGGACGCCTGGGTGGCTCAGTGGGTTAAGCCGCTGCCTTCGGCTCGGGTCATGATCCCAGCGTCCTGGGATCGAGTCCCACATCGGGCTCCTTGCTCAGCGGGGAGCCTGCTTCTCCCTCTGCCTCTGCCTGCCACTCTATCTGCTTGTGCTCACTCTCGCTCTCTCTCTCTCTGATAAGTAAATAAAATCTTTAAAAAAAAAAAAAAAAAAAAAAAAAATACTGCCTCCTGCTGACTTGGCAGCATCATTTGTGAATCCTATGGGCACATATAGATAACATAATGGAGAAAAAGATCAAATGGCCAGTAATAGTTTCATGTTCAATACTCTATTGAAATACATGACATAAATACATGATATAAACCTTTCAGAATATAAATTTATCCCTGCTCTCCTTTCCATCTGACTAAATTAGAATCAACCAGTCTTTTGTTTTCCTCCCATACAATGCTATTTATAGAGTCTGTGCTTGTATAAAGGAAAATATTTCCTAATAAGAATCATAGTCTGAAGTATTAAGTATCTAAGAGGAGCTAGTCATAATTCCCACAGCATTAATATTAATGTAAAAAGATCCACTAAATCATATGCACGGTGCCTCCAAAGAAACAGACATTAGGTTGTGAAGCAAAAAAAAAAAAAAAAGCACTGATTAAAAGATACTTGACTTATAAAATTCCTGATTAGAGCCAAAAAGAACCCATGAGGACCAAGACACAGCTTGTCCCTATCTAAACTGGAACTTCAGACACTCTTAAAGACAGTCCTAGCTCACCGGCATCAGAACAAGAACCCACGCTAACCTTTAGAGAGAGATACACAAAATAATCTTAACCTGGAGAAAAGGTTATAGGTTGAGGCACGTCCTCCTCACAAACACTAAACACAATCAAAATAGATAGCCTGAAATACTCTCTCACCAAAACGCAACTTCTTCTCTGATCAGAGTGTATGAGCTATGCATTTTAAATCATTAACACCTAAAGAACTGCCTTTTTCATTACAAAAGAAAGGCATTATTTCCCTTTTCGAATTTTCTGAACATGAGCTAACCAATGCACATGCTGCAAAGAAGCTATTTACCTCACTTAAAATAGAACTTCCCACACTCTCCTATCCAGAGACCCTCCTTTTTCTGTCATGAACATTGACCAGTTATAAGATTGATTATTTGATAGTATTAATTTTTAAGAGGGCTTGCCAGTATTTCACAAGTGCTCATTGTTAGCCTGTTCACTCTAGTGCAGCCAAAAAAAAAAATTACTGATTTCCTTTTCAGCTTAGTTAATGGACATGGTAAACAAGGAAGGAAGGAGGAAAACTTCTTCGTGAATAACAACAGGTATTTTAAATTTGCATATAAAGAAAGACATTGGAACCTCTGAGGTTCTAACTCTAAGGTGTGGCCATGCAGAGTGGCTGCCACCACTGTCATAGCCATGGATTTTCTCAGGGCTGGAGTCTGTTTCAGTCATCCTTCAGACTATGATTTAGTTTTGCAGGTCCACTTTCAGGATGCAGGAGAAAATTTTATTTGTTTCAAATAAACTGGAAGCATCTTCAGAAAGCACAAGCAATTCGTATGCTCTTAAGATTATAAAACAACAAGATTTTTAAATCCTCAGGCGCTGCGTCTCTTTCTACCGAATGATTACAAGTTAAAAATGCCTTCTATTTCTCAAACGCTTTCTAGTTCATGAAAATGCTTTCAAAGTAATTCATCGACAAATATTTAATGCGGACGGATGACTTATCGTGCACTATGCTAAGTGTTGGACGGGCGGAGATAAAGAGCATGCGTGCCCTGCCCTAATGGTGCTTCAACGTGCCAGGCACAAGCGGAGGGATACATAGCTAATCAGAACTGAAGCCAATTCACGGGCTGCCACGGGCCGATTCACATCCGCCGCGGGGTTAGTGACTTAAGGGTCAACCAAACCCAGATGAAAATTTCCAACTGCCAACTGTGAGGAAGAACAATGAAGTCAAGCCTTCTTTCAAGCCCAATCCCTATAAGCTAATTAATAAAATTTAAAAGGGAATAGATAAAATTTCATGGAGACAGTGGCGGATATCTGATGGAAAAAGCCCTTGGACAGCCGTTCCTCTAAGATGCGGACCGTATCTCGCTTTGAGTCTTTCCAAACTAAAAGAATAGTAAGTACGACCTATCTGTTGTGATGATTAAAAGGCTTTTGATCTGCTTGGTCCCTGTGAAGGATTTCGAAAATTATATTTGCTTTTCTCCATTATTTCCAAAAGGGAAAGGCTGTTGGCTCGGAATGGGATGACTGTCATAGAGAATCAATACTCTCAGCATGAGTGTGTCGTTCAAGCAGGACATCACCTTATCTAGTATTACTGCCATAACCCTGAAGAAGTCAATTACATTCAACAGTTTTCAGATTTCCTTGGAATTTTCTTTCACTATTAGAATGTTCTATTTCCAATATCTTACTAGTCTCCCTTTCATAATGCCCAGGCAGATCACTGGTAACTTTTTTCTTTTTCCCCCCACATTTTGTTATAAGTTCAAACTATAGGAAAGTTTTGAGAACAGAATTAGCTACTCTCATACACCTAGATTCAACAATTAGTTACAGCAATGATGTGACTTAAGTGTGTTAATTAGAAATGGAGCTTAAGGGGTGCATAGGTGGTTCAGTGGGTTAAGCCTCTGCCTTCAGCTCAGGTCATAATCTCAGGGTCCTGGGATTGAGCCCCGCATCGGGCTTTCTGCTCAGTGGGGAGCCTGCTCTCTCTCTCTCTCTGCTTTCTTGTAATCTCTGTCAAATAAATAAATAAAAAATCTTAAAAAAAAAAAAAAAAAAGAAATGGAACTTAAGCCTTTCTCTATAGACCATTTTATCTAATTCCAGGTTAAAGTATTGCTTTTGGAAGTTAAAGGGAAAAAAGCTGAATGGATGTCTAATTAATAAAATTGTAGAGGGGCCCCCAAGTAACACTACAATTTCAAACAGGTTTTATGGAGTACTGATCAGCAGTACAAAGACTGTGAGTTAAACTTCTTATTGTACTCACCGTGCTCACTGTGCTATCACTAGTCTCTGAGTTTACTGGGGTGTCAACAGTAAGCAGCCCAGAAATGTTTGTTGAAGTTTACTCCAAGGACAAGCAATCAGAAATAGGATTTCACCTTTTTACCAGTCATGGACTAGCAAAACTCTTCTTGAGTTTACAGAAATAGCACTTCATTTTGTTTCTAATTTTTAAGTAAAATAATTTTTAAATAGGATTTCAACATTCTAGGTAATCATGCATTTTTAAGAGGTCAGGCATAGATTTTATTCCACGGATATGTCAATAAAAACAGCAGTAACATAGAAAGAAATTTATTTCTGAAGATACAGTTTTATATCCCTTTATGCCATTTGGGATAACTGAAAAGGTTATACATCTGCGAACTGATGAGAAGGCACCCAAGTTACATACAGTGATCTGAGCCGGACATCATTCCATCTGGTCCCCAATACAGAATCCCTGTCACTATGTGTGACGCTGCTGAACAACGTGATCCATGTCAATGGTGATACTGTGTAAGGATCCCTAAAAGGCCAACTAACCAAATATGATATGTTAAAAAAAAAACAACCCATATGAAACTACAGGTACAGTGTGTAACTCAAAAGCCAAATTTAAAAGCAGCATTGTTTTTCATTTGGTGAGGAAAAGGTGTTACAGGGCAGCTTTGCGTGCTTATGAAATCCCACAGTTCTGTGTGTGCTGCGGACAGGCAAATCACAGACGAATTCAGGCTAAAACACACCGCTATTTTTTCATCTGTTATCTCAATAATATAGGACATAATGCATTTCTTTGCCAGAAAATTCACTCCCAACATCTCCTTTATCGATAGATAATAACCGTATGCCAAACTAGAGAACAAATTTTTGACATTGCCAGCTGCAAGAGGAGAAGGGGACATTTCCCAGGGGTAATTATTCCATGCCATGTGGGATCACTGGGCTCTGAATCCAGCCACAAGGTGGAATTGGCCCTCAGAGACCATTTCTCCAATTATCAGGAAAAGATCTGTCCAAAGGCATTTGAAAATGAAACCTGACCTACACTGCAACTGCACAGCAATGGTCGGCCTACTCAAAAACAAGGTATGACCTTTAAATCTGAAATTATAAAATAGTTTGTTGAAAGTGTAATGTATTTAGGTTTTATCTAATAATGTAAAGAAATGCAATCATTTCCCCCCCCAAAAAACAGCAAAATATGCCCCATTTTCATTTTTTATAAATAAAACTACCAGCCACAATACATGAGAAGCTTCTTCACAAATTCTGTTGGAAACTGATTTTACTTTTAATAGATATAAAAATAACAGTCCTGTCCAAAGTTTAAGAGATATGAATGTGACGGGGGTCTGGGTGGCTCAGTGGGTTAAAGCCCCTGCTTTCGGCTCAGGTCATGATCCCAGGGTCCTGGGATCGAGCCCCACATCGGGCTCTCTGCTTGGCAGGGAGCCTGCTTCCCCGCCCCCCCATCTCTCTGCCTGCCTCTCTGCCTACTTGTGATCTCTGTCAAATAAATAAGTAAAATCTTAAAAAAAAAAAAAAAAAGATATGAAGGTGATCCTAAAGGTGAATTTTTCAATTTTCCTCTCTTTTCTTTCTGTTCTTCATGCATGGAAAAATAATAATACTTAACACTAAGTACATGTTTATTTCCTATATATAGTTATTTTATTATATATCTGCTATGGGAAAATAGTACACAAGCATGGATATAGCCATGGAAAAGTGGTAGATGTGGGGAGGCTTGAGAAAGAATCAAGGATAAGTTTAGAAAATTACTGAAGACTAATGAAAATACTAATCCCAAAACTGATTTATTTATCCCACATATGTTTATTGAACATGAATTTTGACTGGTCTTATAACTTTTTAAACCATTTGCAAAACTGGTTTATTAGTATATCAAATGAAATCTTTGACTATTACATGAATTTCAGATATACATATGGCATGGAAATTATGGGTTAGAGGTGGATTTAAAGAAAGAAACCCAGACACAGCAGGATCTATTGAGAAAAATTAGTTCTGAATCTAATCACTTCTATTGTAGGTTATTTAGCAATGAAATGATATACTCACTGTATTAATCTTTATACTTAATGATGCAGTGAATGAGAGCTAGGAACTGGTAACTAGATTTTGAGCCCATTTATAATCTCAATTAGAAATAAACATTTGCAGGGGCACCTAGGTGGCTCAGTCGTTGAGCGACTGCCTTCAGCTCAGGTCATAATCCCAGGGTCCTGGGATCGAGCCCCACATTGGGCTCCCTGCCCTACGGGAAGCCTGCTTCTCCCTCTCCCACTCTCCCTGCTTGTGTTCTCTCTCTCACTGTGTGTCTCTCTGTCAAATAAATAACTAAATAAAATCTTAAAAAAAAAAATAAACATTTGCAAGAAGAGCAACTGAGGTTAGGATGTGTGTTTATTAGTATATGACTCTTAATTTAGCAACATTTTCAAATTCACTTTCCAAACCTTGAAACTGTCAGTGGTCACTTCCTTTGACCTGCAGTCTAGTTAGCATGAGGCCACCAAAGGAGGCTTTAAGACCCAGAAGATAGGGCTTCTGTCACTTACCAGATTCGTTACGTTGGGTAAATTTGGTAACCACCCTGAACCTGCTTTTTCATCTACAAAATGGGGCTCCCGGGGCCTTCTTCAGGAGACTAGTGTCAGAATTAAATGAGATATTGAGAAAAAAATGTAGAGAGGTTTTTTTCTAAATTAAAAGTCATAAACCTAGGCCATGAATGTTAGTTGGATCCTAGTTCAAAGTGGGTAAATGAAGATATTAAGGAATAATTCTTACTAATTTTCTTAGCTGTGAAAAAGACATAGTGCTTATAAAAACAATATTCTTATTGTCAGTATATACTTGTAGAAGTACTGACAGGTAAAGTATCATGATGTATGCTATTTAGTTTCAAATGATTCAGGGAAGGAGAAAAGTACAGAGAAATAGGGCAGGCGAGGTCCAGCAAGGTGACCTTGGATGGGAAATTTAACCCCACGCCTCAATTTTCCCAGCTATAAATGCAACATACAAAGACTATTTGTTCCTATTTTATAATATCCTTGTGAAGATTAAAGACAATGCGCTTTAAATGATCCCTAGCACCTAGTAAGTACCCAAATATTAGCTATGATTACAATTATGTAGATAAAACCTCTGATTCCAGTGTACCATGAGCTGAGAGGTCCTGCCAACATTTATTCAGGATTGCTCCTTCACCTATTAAACTAAATCTAAGGTGTTATTATTAGAAACTTTTCTTCAATTTTCTTCAGTTGGTAATTTTCACTTAAAAAAAAACAATTTATCTATTCTTGCTTTGGTTTTCTTTACAGAGAATTCTGATAAAAGCAATGAAATTTTTACATGACAAGTTTCTGTTTTAGTCTCAAACATCAACAGACTTCTTGTAGAAGTACAAATCTACCGTCTTATAGTATAAAAGCTATAAAAGTCTTATAGCATAAAAGCTATAAATTCAAATTCGTGTAAAATGAATGTTTCAGGAATGTTCTCTGAATCTATATATGTGTTACATGTGTCCTCAGATAAAAACTGGGTTAATGTTTCAGATTCCCAGTGAAACAGTATTAGGGTTTTACACCCTGGTAGGCTTCAATCTACAGCCAGCTTTCTAGCTTGGGCATTCTCTGGAAGTTTCTACTCTTGCGTTGTTGCCTTAGAGATAACCGAAAAGTTTTAATACTTTGCTTTTACTTTAAGATGATTAGTATGATAACATTTGTACCTTCATCTACCTCATTAAAAAAATGTGCCACTAATAGTTTAAAATCAGAAAAAGTGACAGAGCCTCTTTGAACATACTAGAGACAGTCCAATAGTTGCCATATGCCTTATTTTTAGGGTTCCTGACAGTTTCCAAAGGCATGTTTACACACAGCACCACATTTGATCCTCACAGGAATTCCCCAGATGTTCTAGGCAGTTCTTAGCTCCATTTAACAGGTAAGGAAAATGGCAGCCACAGTGGTGAACTAAAATCTACTCCAAGTCAGACAGAAATTATAGGTGCTTATGCTTTACAGATACACATCCACTCCTGCCTTTTGCTCATTTCCCTCCCCTGGGCTCCCATTTCCTCATTTGTGTAGGGTTACCTGGGCTCTCAGCTTCACCTTCTTACTTTTGTTGAGACACACAACATCATATCTCCTCTGGCTGACCTATCCCACCCTGGCCTCTGAGCCATCTATCAGGCATCACCTTATAATTACTGGCTCAGAACCTAAAATATAACAACATCGAAACAAGAGGAGAGCCACAGCCCTGGCTACCTTAAAACTAACCAAATAAAAGCAAGCTGCAAAGACCTAGAGAGGCCACAACCAACCAAGTTTGTCAAGTAAAGTGAATGAGTTCCTTTTACTGAAGTATATCAGAGGAATTCTATTTCTGGTCCTTCCTGGCCATGAAAAGTTACTATCCTCTCTTAGCTTCAGCTTCTTCACTACAGAATATTCCTGTTACCCCCGCCTTCATGGTTATGCTGACTGGGAAAGAAGAAAATATATGGGGATCTCTCTACCAGCACCCAGCCCTCAGTAAGACTTTGACAGTTATTCAGTTGGACGAAACCTTATGGATGAAGAAATGCATAAACTTGAAATGTGATATATATCAAAGAGTACAAACTATAAAACTCAATATTATAAATTAGATATCTTGAAGTTAATTAAATATACACTGCTTACATGCTACAGTTTGTTATCTAAAGAGACACTTAAAATCCTTGCATTAGAATTACCTTAAATTACAGCTGAATAAGCTTCACAAAATTTCTGAAGTATCAGTAGTCTGGGTAGTTGCCTGGAATACGTGTGTTAATTTAGCAGAAAAACTGAACCTCTACATTTTGTGAAGCAATGAGTATATGGTTATATACATCATGGGCCTCTACCAGAACAAAAAAAAGGAAACAGGTGATTTTCCCAAGAAGAAAATTTGAGAAGTCAGATGGAGCAGGTCTGGGTGGGAGAATGGGCAACGAACAACTGACCGAGAGTATAAAGATTCTAGAAAAGATGCTATAATACAGACCTTAGTAACCTTGAGTCATGGTCACTCAGTGCGCTTAGAGGTTCTGGGGCTAATATCCAATAGCACTCACCAAAGTGAACTTCGATTTTGAGTACCGGGAGAGCCCTTCTCTCCAAGAAAATGAAAGAAGCTCCTAAATTTTTCCCTTACGTAGGCAATGAATGGTGAATGCTGAACTCACCAGCTGATTCTGGTAGGCAGTAACTGCTGTGAAAACGGTCTCTGGGAAGATGAATGTTCTGAATTCTTCAGACTTTAGATTGAGCAGCGAGGCTGTGTGGTCTTTCTTCTTAATGATGTGCACCCGTGGCTGGTACTTGTGCATTGAGTTCAAAATTATCTATGATGAAGAGATGGGAAGTACTGAATTTTAAGGTCAAAGGCCAAAGTGCAATGAGGCAAAGAAAGAAGCATAAGATCTCAGCTTCAAATTCAAGTTTTAAGATTAGGATATATACCCTTTCCATTCACAAGGCAAACGCTTTCCATCGTTGCTGTGGAGTCACAGTGGTGAAATCACATTTTATCAAAACAACTGTACACAATACAGGTTGTTTCAAGGGTCCTTTCTAAAATGATGAGGGGAAGGGCGCCTGGGATGAGCGCCACATCTTCAGGTTCCCTGCTCAGCCAGAGAGTCCACTTCTCCCTCGCCCTCTGCCCCTCCCCCTGCTTGTGCATGCAGGGGCACATGCCCTTGCTCTCTTTCTGTCCCTGTCAAATTAAAAAACAAAAACACCTTTTTTTAAAAAAATGATGGGAAAAGTCATCTGAAAGATGTTGATTTTTTTTTTTAATCAAGTCTTTAAAATATTTTTTGTTAGTCTGGTTAGACCAAAAGCTGTATGGTCTAAATTTTCTAAAATAAGAACTTGTACATTCTAGGAGGACAGATGCTATTTATGATTGATGGGGGATACGAAGAATTAAGAAAGGCTGTGTGGTATTAGACAGACCTCCTCCGTTAGAGTGCTAAATCTGTTACTCTTTAGCTCCTTCATCTTGAGCCAGCTGATCTCACCTCTTCAACCTTGTTTTCTCCAATGCAAAAACATACCTCACAGAGTTGTAGGATTAGATGATGTAGCCCTTATAAATTACATAGCAAATAGGAAGTGCTCAGCAAACATGAACATTATTGTTATTCTTATTCTTATTTTTTTAAATATTTTATTTATTTATTTGACAGAGAGAGAGATCACAAGTAGGTAGAGAGGCAGGCAGAGAGAGAGAGAGAGAGGAGGAAGCAGGCTCTCTGCCAAGCAGAGAGCCCGATGTGGGGCTCGATCCCAGGACCCTGAGATCATGACCTGAGCCAAAGGCAGAGGCTTAACCCACTGAGCCACCCAGGTGCCCCTTATTCTTATTTCTGACAGCTTCATTGATTCCTGGTTCCCAGTTATAAACCAAACATGAATGACAGTGATGACTAGTGAAAGTTGCCCAATACTTAGAAATCATGATCCTACTTTTGTTAACAAGGCAGTATTTTTCCTGTATCTTTTAAATAAAATACAATGATTTGCCATTATGAAATCTGAGCTATAAAATTCACTTTCAGATATAGAAGTTTTTCCCGTATCTTCCCTCCCGCCACACAGACAGCTACCTACATCTGCAAAACTGGGTTCCATCTTCCTGGGATAATAGCGCTCACACTGTAGGCCCTTCACCCCCAAGGGCCTAGCAGAGAGCCTGGCTCTCAGAGGAGGCATGTGATACACACTGTGGCAGGAGCAGGGTCAATGGCATGCAGTGTTGTTAAAACTAATGGCTCCCATGTTTTCTTGGCTAACATGGGTGTGGTAGATGAGCGTTTTTGCTAGCTGACTTTAACAAAGTTAAATACTAGTCACTGTGGGATGATTAATATAGAATCAGTCTCTCCCTGTGCTGAGATGTAAGCCAACTTAAAGTTACAAAGCATTAACTGGCATTGAATTTTGCACATGCCATCCTTTCATGGTCCCAAACCTGACTAGGAATAACTAAAACAAATGAGAACTTCAAATGAGTTGAAATAGACTTTAAAAAAAAAAAAAAGTCATCTCGTTATATAATGTGTTTATTTCGGGGAGTTCAAGATATTTATGCTTACTCATAAAACTGGAATAAACTCAAAGTGATACAAGTAAACTTCTAACACTGATACAAGGAAAAACCTGGGTATTCATTATATGTTTTATTAATAAATTAGAAAGAATTTTCACACACACACTGAGTCTCAATGGAAAAAGCCCTAATAAATAGGGCTTTAAATAATATCCCCTCTCCCGTATTTATACCCTCCCAAGGTCAATTTCCTTTGGGAAAGAGTGCCAGAGAGACTCAAACCTCAGGCTGAATCTCAGCCCCCAAGGCTCCTTGACTCTCTGCTCAAGACCTCATGGGGCTAAGGAACACTAATAGAGACATCAACTTTGCTTCACTGAAGATATAAATTCCCTGAAGTAAAAAATTTTCCTGTTATAAAATGAAAAGTGCATCTATAAGAAGGGGTTCTTCAGAACTAATTTAAAGAACTTGGCTGAATGACACAGGATCTAAAAATCTTTTCTTGTAGTTTTCAGAACACATTATTTATGGTGACAAAAGGTTATATTAAATAATAAAATTTTAAAGCTAATATGGATATTAACAACCATCTAAGACTAAATAATCTGTCAAGGTCTAATCTTGGCATAATCAGATGAGAACTCAGGGGTCCTAAAATACAGCTTGGTGGTATTTCCACCCAGGAAGTTGATATTAAAAGGAAAACATATTAATTCTGGACAGCTGATCTCAAAATGAATTCTCAAATCTTTCTGGAAAGACCCAAATAGTGCTTCTAAAAGCTTCACACAAGGGCACCTGGGTGGTTCAGTCCATTAAGCATCTGCCTTCGGCTCAGGTCATGATCTCAGGGTCCTGGGTTCAAGCCTCATGTCTGGCTCCCTGCCAGCCTGCTTCTCCCTCTCCCTCTGCTGCTCCTCTGCTTATGCTCTTTGCTCTCTCTCTCACAAAGAAATAAATAAAATCTTAAAAAAACAAACAAACAAACAAAAAACCCCACAAAACTATTCCAGGACTTTCCCAATGTTTTAAAAAATAATAAAATTAAAAATAAATAAATAAAAGCTTCACATATGGAAAATATCACAACTGTAAAAAATTCATTTCTCCCTGCAAAGATTTCAGTGGAGTCAAGAAATTTTAATATGAATGACATTAAGAATGATCTGGCCTGCAGAAAATGTCTCCCTGATAGTTCATCATTTTTAACCTGAAAAAAAATCCATCAATGAAAACGTCTCTTTAAAAAAGCAGAAAAAGACAATTATCCCAACATTCTTGAACATAAAAGTCAATTATCTTTTCCAATATATAAAATAACAAAAACCTATTAACCTATTTGCAACACTGCAACAGTGCCACCAGCAGAGTCATGAGTTAACCTGGTTACTCTGATTTGGTCACAAAAAACGAGGTCTCTTGTGGGCAAATTGGTGGTAGCAATGCCTAAAGGGATTTATTTGGTTCCCAATTTCAATCAAACCATTTGAAACCATTGGCTAGAACTAATTTATATCTACTTATAACCATCCTTTCTGAGAAAAGTTCTGAAACTTCTAAATTGCACAGATCCAATAAAAACAAAAACTTTAGGTAACAAGAGTCGTAATAAAGGGGTAGAGAGAGAATAATGATATGCAAAATATCTAAGCCAAAGGAAGCAACCAGTGAAATGCCAATGTGTTTTCTGGCAAATCAAGGCAAAAAAATAAAGAAAGAGTCCTCTCCTTATCAAAGAGAAGTGTGTAGGGGCGCCTGGGTGGCTCAGAGGGTTAAAGCTTCTGCCTTTGGCTCAGGTCATGATCCCAGGGTCCTGGGACCGAGCCCCACATCAGGCTCTCTGCTCAGCAGGGAGCCTGCTTCCTCCTCTCTCTCTCTCTCTCTCTCTCTGCCTGCTGCTCTGCCTACTTGTGATCTCTGTCTGTCAAATAAATAAATAAAATCTTAAAAAAAAAAAAAGTGTGTAGGGCGCCTGGGTGGCTCAGTGGGTTAAGCCTCTGCCTTCGCCTCAGGTCATGATCTCAGGGTCCTGGGATCGAGCCCTACATCGGGCTCTCTGCTCAGCAGGGAGCCTGCTTCCTCCTCTCTCTCTCTCTGCCTGCCTCTCTGCCTACTTGTGATCTCTCTCTGTCAAATGAATAAATAAAATCTTTTAAAAAAAAAAGTGTGTAAGTCCACAGTTTTCTTAGCATAAAAATCAAACAATTTTTATGTAAATCTTTCTTTTATAACACAGGATAATATCGTTCCTTACAAAGCAATAAACGTGTAAAGGCCTGTGTCAATGGCTATTTGTGCTATTAATTAATGAAATGGGCTCAGAATTCCAATTTCTCTTTTCCCTTATTTTGATGAACATTTTTGACACAAAATGAAATTGTTTTGTTTTTAAGATTTCTCTATGCTTTAATATTCATAAAACTCTACAATAAGCGTAGATAGTGAGTCAATAGCACATCCCCAAATTTATCTGGACATGAAATCCTTTTGCTCTATTGTGTCTCACATGAACAGGCTCTACAAAACACACTCTGGGAAATTCCCAGAGGAGGTGTCAGCCCCGTTTCCTTTATGCCGTGTTATCTAACATACCACTGACAGAAATCAGATGTATAACCCAAGAACTATCATAGCCGCCAGAATGCATATTCCCTTTGTGTAGCTGGTGCAGGTAGTGAAGTAGCTGCAGTCTTGGGAAAATCACAGTGCCGAACGTCCCAGACCCTCTTGCACTGGAACGGTATACAGCATCCCTGTAAGTGGCCTCTTAAGAAGAGTAGTCAGGATTCCCTGAACAGCACAGGAATGTTCTCACAGAATGACTGAGAGATGGAAGATGGGATGGGGAGAGGGAGGAGAAGAAGACGAGACAGAGAACTTCTCCATTCCATCCCAAGGAATCCACATAATCCAAGGCGTGGCACTTACATGGCCATGCTGGTCCAGTTCATTGTTGGTGAGTTTCACCTTTTCAAAAGACACCATCTGCTTGAGTAACTGCTCACCAGTAAAAGGAGAGTCTGGGTGTACATAAAGCCTAAGAAAATTATAAGAGAATATTATTGAGTCATCTTTTAAAAATCTGTTCTTTGTGGGTTATAAAACAGTTTGATTCTAAAGGAATACAAAAACCTCATATAAATGGTGAATTTGACTTGCCCCAGATAATCTCAAATTTAATAATCAAACAGTGTCAAAATAACTTTAAAACATCTAAATATGTTTCTTCATGTACTGACCATCTAAAAGAGGTAATACCTATTGTCGGCTCAGCAAGCCATTTTTAAAAAGGTGCATATTTTTCCATCTATCTAATCAACTATTGGTCTGCTTCAGTAAAATATGAAATTTTATTACCATTGTAGGTATTTTCAAATAAGAGACTAGTTTATACTAATTGTATAATGGGTGCGTAACATAAGTACTGCTAAAGAAATAAGTCAATCGGAGAAAGACTACTATCATATGATCTCCCTAATATGAGGAAGTAGAGATGCAACATGGGGGGATGGGGGGCAGGAAAAGAATAAATGAAACAAGATGGGATCAGAAGGGAGACAAACCCCTAAGAGACTCTGAATGTCACAAAACAAACTGAGGGTGGCAGTGGGGAGGGAGAGGGTGGTGGGGTTATGGACATTGGGGAGGGTATGTGATATGGTGAGTGCTGTGAAGTGTGTAAGCCTGATGACTCACAGACCCGTAGCCCTGGGGCTAATAATACATTATATGTTTATAAAAAAATTTTTAAAAATTTTTTTAAAGTACTGCTAAAAAGCAATGAAGGCATAAAGAACTGAAGAGGAAACAATTCTAGAGAATCCATTCATTTATACTTGAAGATGACTCAGTTTGAAGTTTATCAAAACACGACAAGTAATTTAAATACAGCAGCCTGGCTAACTTTTAATAGTCCACAGATCACGGTCCGTTGCTCCTTTACTACCTTAAATACTACCATTTTCATCTAGTTAAGTGCTCACTAAACGACACTGAAAATAAGCTGGGTAAACCTCAAATTATTCAGTACATTTATTCATAAAGAGCTTATGCAGGGGACACTTTGATGGGAAAAAATGTATTTATCAAGTATTTATCATGTATTGATCAGCTACAAAATGCAAGGCAATCTTTTCCTCATTCACAGTTACATGCAGGCCATCTGTTCTACCAGCAAGGATAACACAAAGTACAACTCTTTGTAAATTCTAATCCTGGTATCCACTCAACATAAGCCTTTCTGAAGTCAGGGAAGATTACAGAATTTGTGAAAGAGAAAGGATAGGACAAATCCTTTTATCCATTTAACAGGTTATTTATATCTCAATTTTTATAGGATCTTCATAATTTTAATTAAACATAAATATTATGGTTTGGGGGAAAGTCAGGGGGAAAAGTCACAAAACTTTTCCCTGCAGTACTTATGGAAAAAAAACCAAGAAGGCTGTGCCATGCTTTGTCACACAGAGGACTAAGAATTAGGTGTCCATGCTGACGTGCTAAAGCCATCAGAAGCAGAGCACCAAAAAGGCACTAGAAATTCCTACCAAACCCATGGAAGAACTTTAAAGGCTTTAGGAGTGGGTTTGTCTGCCTGTTTGTTTTGGAGGTCAAAAGTGTCTTTCAATTTAACTATTCCTTGATGACACACTCATAATATTTTTTCAAGTACACCCCTCCAAGACTAGAACTTTACACATGCAATGGTTTTACCGACCAGCACATCCTACCTACTCCATCAAAAAAGTTTCAAAAATATTTAAACTCCTAGGAGCACATGAAATGTTCCCTCTTTATCAATTCCACATGTGTAATCACGTTAATAAAGTCTAACTCATTTAAATATCAGTTACTTTAAAGACAACGAAATGTCGTATATGAAAACACATTATTTTAGATAATGTTTTGCCCGTTGTTGAGATCAAAATGATATCGTCAAATATTATTTGTTTTGATTAGGAACAACTGACGGTAAACTTCTGTCTGAAATAAGCAAAAAGAACCACAAGGAATTTCCACCATCAATACAAAAATGATCAACTTCGCTATCCCAAACCTTTCCCTTATGGAGCTATGAAATACAGCATTATTTTTAAATAGTAATAAAAAACATTTGTTTAAATTATCTAGCATAACCTATAACACACTAAACATTTTTATCTAATATCAATATAAATAAACTTTAGTAGGATGAATGAAAAAACATGCAGGAAGCCCCTCCTCTCTCAAGTCCCCCAGGACTTAAAATTCCAGCAATAGCTTAAACATGCTTCAGTTAAGATAGTGTATTGGTACGTGCTTTCCTTCTCCAACCAGAGCAGATTAGTAACATAAACAAGGCATGTCATATTTCCAAAGTCATGCTGGCCTGCACCAGTTCCCCAAACCTTCTGATAGGAAGAAAACATATGCTAAGTAAGAGTGATTAACTTCTTAAAGGAGAGACTTTGGGGGAGGAGGGGGAAGGATTTGCTTGTAAAAATAGTTAGGAATCTGCTGAAATACCCCTTCTCTCTTTCTCGTTTAAAAAGATTTTGGAGAGTTTGGAAGGAAGCCTGAGAGAAATGTGAATCAGCTACTAAATAATAAAGAGTAAAAAATACAAATTATAAACTGCCAGAAACTGGTGGATCTTGATCAATTAAAAAAAAGGGGGTATGACATTTTTTAAAAAGTTCTTAGTCTGCTTATTTGTTATTTAATATACTGATTTGGAAGGGGTTGGGAAGATGTCCTTCCTAGTCTCTTGTGGGAATGGAAAACTCTGAGAGGCTTCTTTTAACAAAATCTCTTCTCCAGTGTATTTAGCATACTGTAAGTTCAGTAATATGATTAAATCAGACTAAGTAAGCTTAATATTGCATCTGAACTATTATGTACAAATTGTCTGTGTTGGTTCTGTGCCTTGACTAAAACTCCAGACTAGATACACAGAACCAGCCATAACTTCAAAATTCCTAAATCTATATATGTAAATAAATTCTTTGTTCTGATATGAATTTCCAACCAATTACAAAAATTAGATAATCAGAAAACAACTTAAAAACAGTAAGGTTTGGTTTTAGAACCCTAAATGTAAAGTCTGCTAATATTCTCTGTATTAAAGTATGCAGTTAGGTTCCTATAACTTAAGCTACTACTTTTTGCATAATCTCATACATGCTCTTTTTTTCCCCTAGAAGGCTAATTTGGGTAAAGCAGCAACAATAAAAAACAGCATGTGATTTTTTAAACAGGGTTCTCCTTTCTGAAAAACATTATTACCAATGAATAGCACAAAAATAAACATATATGATCCCTAACATACCTAGTAATGTTTCACGTAAAAGAATAGTAACCTGACATTGAATTACAGGCATCTACTGAAGTTACTATGGAGAAGGGGAAAAAAAGGAGTTAGGTTTTCTTACTTAAAATGTCTGAGTCCTTTATTGGTCAAAAACAACTGCATTTCCCCAAAATGACCTTTATTGTGTGCAGATATAACCATATTACTTAAAAATATTTACTATAAGCAACCCAAATGCACTCTCCTAAAACGGACTTTTAGGGCAACCACTTCCTCATTAGGTGTATTGATTCTGGTATTAAGTAGCCACCTAGAAATGATGGGTGCCAAAAGAAATGGGTCCGGATTTCTAATGAATACTCCAACTGAATTAGGAAAGCACGGAAAGGAATTATGAGAAAGATAAAATTAAAGACAACACTGTCTCTGCAAACTCTGCCTTTCTATTTTGATATTCTGTGAAGTCAGTCCTGGAGCATCCGTGCTAGGAATATTTTCTACCAGAGCTCACCACAGCGAAACCAGTTCTGTTTGAAATGCAACCAACCAGAGACTGTCTGCTCTCAGAGTTAAAACACATTTTGCTCTGCCCGAAAATCTGGAGGCACAAACCTGGCTGGCAGCGGTGGGTCTGCCTTGCCAGCCACCAGCCAGGAGGACCGGTGGTAGGCGTAGCGATACCTCTTGTTGTCCACAGGGACGATGTCCATCAGGACTATGTACTTGGCCTCAGGATCCACGCCTGAAAATGACACTCGGATGGTAGGAAACATCCTCCTGACACAGGGAAACAAAGAGAATCGGCCAGAGCTCACACTGCCCAAGGAGCCCACCGAATTAAAGAGGGAGGTAATACTCCCCTCCCTGGCCCCCAAACCCTTTTTTTGTTTCCACAGAGAAGGGAATTCAGAGACCTTCTTTCTCCCAAGCATAGATAATTTTAGGTGTCACCTTTACAGGAGTCCTCATCGCTAGGTGAAAATACCCATAGGTCTGTATTAGGGGAAATGCTATGTTATATTATCAAGCCTGTTAGGCTCCCAGACCAAAATCTGGAACTGACTGAGTTGCCCAGTCCCCTAGGGCTGCAGGGAGAAAACTTGCTCCAGCAGCAGAAATCTAGGGTGGGGTTTGGTTTCCCGAGACCCTGGGGTACTTCCCAGAATCCAGAGAGCTGGAGTGACCAGGGCTGCAATGGGCCACCGACCTTTAGAGTCTTTGCCCCAGGCCTGGGAAGCCGCCTCTGCCTCGTGGCTTCTGCCCGCTCCCCACCACCCCCCTGCCCAGCTACAGCATCAGGGGGCCCACCTCGCCAGCACTCCATCCTACGCAGAGTGTGGTCGTTTCAAATTTCATTCTTCTGCACAGGTTTTAATTTTAGTTTTTAATGGGAACTGGCGGCTTTTGCAAATTGAGGCCAATAAAAGGGAAGCTACTGCCTCACTCCAAGCACCCAGCAGCCAGCTCTGCATTCCCAGCATGAGTTCCCTCTTCACTCCAGATGCCATCCCCCGAAGCCCCAAGCCCTCTCAGACTGAAGTGTCCCAAGATCCCCACGCCCCTCTCATCAAGGCCGAGGTGGGGTTTTCCACAGCCAGATCCCGAGAAAGCAAATGCTTGGACATCTGTCTCAGCAGTTCTTTCCAAAAGCAAGTCAGGGGAAAGAAGCCCTCATTAAGTGAAGCTTCCTCTAGGTGCTCTGGATTAGTGGGGTTTCACCCAGTTCCTGGGAACACCCTAGGCCACCCAGGGCACCATTCTCACCACCCCACTCCTCACACACCGAGCCTCCCCACCCCCCCCCACCCTGCTACCTGCCCGACTTGGTGATGATCATCTCTGTTCCCAGCTCATGGAATTTGTCCCAGAGCTCCTTGGTCTCCAGACTGCAGGCAATTTTGGCCATTTCCTCACTGGGGATGATGGGGGTGGTGGGGATCAGTGGCTCAGTACACAGAGAGGAGGAGGATGGGCTGCTGCTGCCCCCACCACCAAACTCCCCGTGAGCATCCAGGCTGGTCAGTTCGCCCAGGGGTTGGGCACAGGATGACTTCTCAACAAATTGTTCTGCAGGAAAAGAGAATGGAGGATGACAGCTAACGCTATCAAGCAAAGATACAGGAAGGAAAACAACACAACCAAAATAGGTTCTGGACTTAACTTGGGAAAAGTTAAGTTCGGAAACTCCAGGAAGGCAGTGATAACTCATCTATAAATATGTATCTCTCTATATATCTAGATATATATGTGTATGTGTGTGTATGTATGTGTGTATATGTATGTATGTATGTATGTATATATGTGTGTGTGTGTGTGTGTGTGTGTGTATATATATATATATATATATATATATATATATATATATATCTCCCTAGAGTGACACACCCAGTGCTTGCTTACTGAACCAAATGAGTTCTAGAACTTATAGGTTATTACTACCATTATGAAAGCCACTTTGGGAACTAAAAATGTAAGGAGTGGATAAAGGAAAAGGAGGTGATTATGAAAGATGAAAAGCAAGTATTTCTGTTGTTATCCCTCCCACATTCTAGACTTTGCTTGTGGGATCTGGTGTCAGTCCTGCCTCTCTGACAACCAGGAGAGACTTTTCTCCAGGGAGACCAAGGGAATGAAGAGATCAGCACTTGGACATAAACTTTCCCTTCTGTCCTGAGCCTTCTCTCCATAAGAAAAAAAAAAAAAAATGAAAAGGGGAGGTGAAGTGGAGAAAAGTGGGAATGTGGCTAAAACAAAAACAAACAAACAAAAAAAATTAAGTAACTTCACTTCTCTGCCTGGCTCTCCATTTTCTAGGCTTTGATATGATATGAGTGCATTTTTACAATATCCCTCCCAGCATGAGAGCTTATGAAAGACTCAAACATATCACAGAAGTGAGCTCCCCAGGCCATTTTGGGAACCACTGTGAAACAAATGCTTGAGCAAGTGTGTGTATTTTTCTCTCAAAAAGGTCCTGGAAGTAAGGAAAACAACCCCGACCCCAGGCTAGCAGAGTATTAAAGTAGGAAGAACGCCATCCGCCATCAGGCTGGAATACCACGCCATCAGGCTGGAATACCACGGCCTATGAAGCAAACATTCTCCTCCACAGCTGATAAGGGCCTAGGACTACACCAGTCACTTTGATGGAATACAGGGGGACTTTTGTAATTGTCCCAATTATCTTGCATCCCTTAAAAAAGAAACTACTTGAATCTGCAATGTGAAACTGATCTCTAAACAACGCTGTTCTGGGTACCCTCAAGGAACTGAAACAAGTTCTAAACGTAGGTATACACATATACATGCCATATATCATAGAAAGCATTTTATTTCCCCTTGACTTGGGGCAGACAAGCAGGAAACAGGGAATTTTTTTTAACCTTTTCTTCTCTTACAATAATAATCCAACTCATTGTAACATTTTAAATTAAGGATAACTACATTAATTATCTTAGTCCTATATTCCCAAATTCAAAGAAAGAAAAGTATGCCAGGGCACAGTCTTACTTGCAATGAATATCTTCAAAAACACATTCACATAATGTCTTCATAGGGAATCAACAAGTAGCCTCAGAAATTTTCTTATTTTCTGACAACTGAAAAAGCCAAGTCCCTAAGCTCCAGACTAACGACTGTGGGGGTTGGAAAGTGGAGGAGGAAAATGATACAGAATTGCTTTAACACAATATTATGTGTCAGTTGTATTTCAATAAAAAAAAAAATTAAGAAATGTTGTAGTGGTCTAAAGCAGTTCTTCTAAATAGATTTAGTGTGTTTAAATGGGCAAACATGGGACGCTTTCCAGTCCCCACCCCACAGCTGCTTCAACATCTCTGGTGTTCCAAAGCACCGCATTCTCTCTTAACAGAACCTCTAGGTGTTTCTCTCGCGGGAGTCCTCAGCTTGTTGTGCTCTGGAGAACTGGCCTGTGCAATGGACTAGAATGCCTGCTGGTCCTTTCAGAGCCTGTCTCAAAAGCCCAGGGGAAGGATGGTCATTTTACAGACTATGTGTGTTTGTGGTGCGGGAGAGGTTATGGCTTTATAGCTTAGAGTTTAGATAAAAAGTGAGTATTCTCAGGAAAAGAAACAGAAAAAGAAAGCAATACAGAAATGAGCTGGAAATGGCAAGTTTCCCAGTCTGCTGTCTATAATTCTGACAGGAATTTTAACCCCAAGTGCTCTTTTCCTGTTAGCTACCAAACTGCAGTAAGGGTGTTTATAAAGAATTCAAGAATTTACAAAGAATTCAAACTCCTTCTAAATAGGAGTGGATAATGTTGGGCAGTCTCAGGAATATAACTTTGAAACTGTTGGTTAATATTTCTGTAAACAGTTGCGGGTTTTGTTTCTTGGGTTGTTTCCATATTTTTTCCACAGGCTTGGATTTCGATAGGAGGGCATGTGGGAAGAACCAGGGGAAGGGAGTGAAAAACCTTGGAGGGCAGAATTTTTGACATTATATTTTCTGGAGCTCTTCCGGTTTCCTTTTCCTTGGTTCTAAGCTGCTCTGGGGATTTTAGCTCTTTCTTTTCTCTCGGCCGGACTCTCTTATTTTTCATCTCTAACACTCTATCTTTCATACTAGGATTGTTGTTTCAGATGTGAGATGTTAAAGTATTGGAAAGGACAGAGAAAAAGAAAGAAAACATTGGGGAGAGTTAAAAAAGAAATATTACCCTAAGTTTGCTATTTGATGTTTCTCATCATCTTAGGGCCATCAGATGATCAGGATATAGAATGATTATTTCCCGGGGACCCAAGAAGTGATGATAACACTCCTTTCTCTGTCAGTTATAAAGGGACTCTGAAACATTCAAGCCCAGCAGTTTCTTTCCCACACAGTTCACTTGCGCTCAGGGAACATAATCCTTATTTTCCCTTTACTCTGATCCTAGTGTCTTCTATAAATGGTAAAGGTTGTTAAATAAACAGTATAGCTAAAAGTTGAGGAATTTGGAAAATGGTTACTGGCTAATGTTTTTGCCAACCTCCACTGAAAACGATGTCTCACTGATAAGTCTGGAGCTTCTGTGAAGAAAATTGCTCATGTGGGGAGAACTGGCTTATTCTACAGCACTTGACAGTGGTTTTAAGGAGCTGGTTCTGTTTAATCGATTGAAATAAGAGGAAAAACAAAATTCCACTAGTTTCTCCCGAAGTCGCTAAGAGTCTCCTTGGTATCAAACTGCACACGTAGGTGTACACGCATGGTAAATCCTGTTGAATCTTCAAAGGGGTTAATTATTGTTTATCCCTGTTTGTCCCAACAAAGTTAAACACATTCTCATACAGACGACTTGACAAGGGGATTCTAGACGAATGGGTAGGGAATGGGGCTAGCGCAGAGACAAGACGCGAAACCGGCTGTCCGGGAAGACCCCAAAGAAAATTTGGGCGGAAAAGGAAAGACTCTCCCACCCCTAGCGTCGGGCCCCTGACCCGAGGATCAGAAGCTGCCTCGAGCAGGGAAAGGCAGCCACCCTCGAGAGCCTCCCGCAGGCAGGGGACAGAGGGTCAGACGGATGCGCACGGCGCCCCTGCCCACAGCGGACATTCAGGCAGCCAGACTTACCCAGAGGTTTGATGGTGTTTTCGGTGCCCTCCTTCTCCTTGGAGCCGCCGCTCGACATGAGCGCGGCGATGGAGAAGGCGTTGGCCCGGGAGGAGAGCTGTGGCTTGGGCGACGCTGTGAACTCCATGGCCCCCAGCGTACGGTCCTCGCCACGGACCGGGCCTGCCGAACTGCCTTCCAGCCTCCCCCAGGGGAGACAAAACCCGACACACAGCGCAAAGTTTCCAAGTGCAATCTCAGCGGAGTCGGGAACTCCAGATGAGTCAGCCCCAACCTCCCAAGAGCTCCACACTGGCCTCTGTCCCTCACCGCAAAGCCCTCCAGCCCCACAGACTTCGAACTAGCCGGAGAGGAGAGGGGAGGACCAGCAGCGGGCTCAACCGGGTGCGCGAACACTGGGGCGGTCCGCGAAACCACCGGCTGCGCCGCCGGAAGGTGGAGACGAGCATTGGACGCGCAAAGCCCAGGGGTCTTGCCGCACCTCCACGGCGTCCTTCCTCCCTCCGCGCGCCGGAAACAGCCGGAGCGGCCCAACCTGCAAGAAGGTGGCGACCGGTAGAGCGCGGGTGCGAGGGGGCGAACGCCAACGAGCGCGAGCGAAGGCGTGCGCAGCACGGCGCGGCGGAGAGGACACTGCGCCCGGGCGCTCGCAGCCCGGCGCCTTAATTTGCTGGCGGTAGCTATCCCGGCGGCCCGCAGCCAGTCAGCTCCTTCTCACGTCACCGCTTCCTGATTCCGCCGCCGGGGGCGGGGCCGCGGGCCGGGCTGGGAGGGCGCGCCCCGGGCGCGGTGCCCGCACCGCCTCGCGCCGCTACCCGCCGCAAACCTGGCGCCCGTTCGGAAAAAAGTGTCACCGCCTAGCTACCGCGGATGCCGCTAGCCTCGTCTCCAAGTCCCAGGGCGGAAGGGACGAGCGCGCGGTCGGGAGCGGGTATTTCTGAAGTGACTAGGACGCGGGATTCTGGGAGTGGCCCAGTGCGGGAACCTAGATCAGAGGTAGCCTGGGGGAGTTCCTGCTTCTTCCATTCTTTTTCTTCCCGTTGCTCAAAGTTCCAAAAGAAAGTGGGGAAGCTCTAAGTAGAGCCGGAACCGGTGCCACAGAGCCAGCACCTACTGACCAGATCCTATTCGCGAGTCAGCTCCCAGGGCTGGTCCCCCGCACTCGTTGGGCTCCAAAATAAATCTGTCTGCTTGACAGGGGGACTGGAAAGACGCAGCCCAGTAAAGGACATGCTAAGGGAGGGCTTCGAGCGTTTGGCAAAGGATGCTGCTCTCAGAACCACGGCTTCTGCTACGCACCAGAGCGTCACTTACGCGGGGTTCCTGTTCCCGAAAGGGACTCGGGAAAGTGGGGCCTCCACGAAGGGAAGGCGCGGGGTGGGAGCGGTGCCGGGGGCGCAGCACCCTGCGGGACCACGCGACGCGAGGTGAGAGAGTGCAAGATTTACAGCACCTTAGCTTGGTAGACAAGGGCTCTTCTGCCTTCGCAAACTGAGCTGCGACCAGGACTTCCCACGGCCTTATGGGGGTCGTCCTGTTGGCCCTGTTCAGCTTGAATAACTAAAATTCTCCGAATTCGCAGGGTAATCCGCTTCACTCGGAGCCGTGTAAACTCAGGCTGACACACACACTCAAGTTGTACATGTAAATATTTGCGCTCCTTACCAGCCAGTCGGTCTGGCGATTAGGAGCCTCTTGGTGGGTCTTAACATTTAAAAGAAAGAGAAAACAGCTTCCATTTCCCACCAGCACTTTTCTCTCTTCCCTGCACCCCTGAGGGCCCAGCCTCCTGGAATAAACTTCCAGGGAAAAGCTAAAAAGTTAGAAGCTGAGAACTTTTATGAAAGGGAAATGATGACATATGGGAAAGTCGTAATTTAAGCCACTCTTGCCGATGCGTATCAATAGTTTCTAACAAGGTGCTGCATGCTGGTGACTAAAGGTATTCCGCTATCGGTCTCCAGGTACAAAGTGTGTACGTGCAAATATTTGGGGGAAATTCGTAAAATCATAGGTTTTATTACTGGAAGGGGTTTACACTGTCCAGTAGCCTATCTCCATTTGCTTTTGAGAAGGAAACACCAGGGAGGGCTTGGCAGGGGCACATCTCCTCTCCAGTTCCCCCAGCCAGCTAGAGGCAAACCCCAGCGCCAGACTGGCACTCCAGGCCACCCTCTTGGTCACACGATGGCCCTGCAGTTGTGCCTGCGCTGTTCGCGGGAGATCGAGAGCAGAGCTAATGCCGGCTGAGAGCAGAGGCTCTCAGATTAAACGTTAGGAAGAGCAGAGACTAAGCCAACCGGGTGTGCCTAACCACCAGCTTCCATTCTTGAGCCTTTGGTCTTTTTGCTGTTTTGGAACAACTCAGACCCTCCGCTGTTGTTGAAAATCACTTCACCCCTCCAGCGCAAACCCCATCTCAATGCAACAGTGACATTTCCCTCTTGAATGTAAGGTGCATACTGGTTCCTTTCCAGTCTCCCAGTCTCGGAAAGGGAGATTTCTGACAAAAGGGTTTTTTGTTTGTTTTTTAACTTTTTATCGGAGTGAGGGTGATGTCATGGTTGGTCCAGAGCTTGATATATGCTTCAAAAGGGGTGGCAAAAATCTTTTTGCTGGTTTTAGTTTTCAAGAACTACGGAATTATACCTCAATTTTTAAAACTTGCCATTACACTTCTATGCAGAGAAAACATCGTTTCTTTTCGTAATTATCCTAATGGTTTAGAATGGAATTTGAATAATTTCATGACATGGATATTTCGGGGAAAAATTGGCCCGCGGAGGGGAAAGCTGACTTGCTCCCAATCAGCTTCCACTTCCTTTACCAATTGCTACGGGCCATAGCCCAATTCTGAGTCTCTTGTGGGCAGAACTCCTACTATTCATCCTATTAAAAGGTAAAATAGAAAGCACAAAAAGCTAAATGAGCGCAGAAGCAGGAGGCAAACCAGAGGAATTGAAAAGGCCACTTTAAACAAATCCGGGCGCGAGAGGTGAGCCGTTTGGGGATCCCTAACAAGCTATGCATCTTGCTGGTGTTGAAACCGTGGCAGTAAAATGTGCACTACAACATAATTATCGGGGGGTGGGGGGCACCTCGTTCCTTAGATTTATTGCCTTTGAGAATCAATATGGTGCTATAAAAACGGGGAACCAGTGCTTGGTTGAGAGGTGCTGTCAAAGGGTGATTCAAAGCGGTCCCGAAGCGGAGAGCGCTGAGGTTCTGAGGTCCCTTCAAAACCTCAGTGTTAGCGCGGATAACAGGTAAAGCCACCACAGGGGTTGGAAACAAAGCAATCACATTAACACTTCCCTCCAGGCCTTGCTCCGGCTGACCACAGGCCGGCGGGGGCGCTTTGGGATACGGGAACTCGCAATCCGACTTGGAGAAAGCTTTGAATCTTGACTTTAGAGCGCTTTAGCCCTAAGACTTTGTATAGGTTATCTAAACATCTCAAAGCCTCAGTTTCACTATCTACATTTAAATAGGGCCAATAATTTATTCCTACCTGGAAGAAGGCTCTGTGGATTCATGAGATAACTTGTCCAATACAAGCCCCTAAACCATAGCAAACCTTAACACCGCTGTATGTAAAACATAAGCACAGAATTTTATTATACTTAAATTTCGAACTGCGGCTTCGCGATTGTAGACCTGTATCTCTCGCACACGCTTGTCGAGTTAACTGTAGGGACAGTTTTGGAAGGTGCTCCGAGGAGTGGAGTCACATGGTGATAAGGAGCCTTTCCTTAAACCCCTTTAAATTTTGGAGCCTAAGAATTAAACCTTTTGGTTATACGTCTGAGTTTGGTTATACCGAGTTTGGAGGACTGGAAGATGTCTCCCTATACATTACATACTTTCAAATTCTCGTTTGTAGTCTCCGTAACTCGAAAGTTAGTGGTCCCAGAGACCAGCCCAGGAAGTAATTGGTTTCCCGCTTTTGGCCAATGATTCCTCGCTTAACGAATGCTAACGCAGAACCCTCCGCCGACAGCGGCTGGGACCCGTCGCTGGCTGGTCTCGCTCACCCGCGGGCAACACTAGGAGCCAGAGCGCGCCAGGGCTGCGGGCCGGGGTGCCAGACCCAGAGCGCCGCCGTGCCCCCGAGGGTGGCAGCGGGAGAGAAGGTGAGAAGAGAGACCTGTTTCTGGGCACCCGGGCAGCAACTCGCGAACTTGGCCCGAGATCCCTTCCCAATCCTCCCTTTATCTCTTTCTGGTAAATACTTTAAAAACGACAATAATGGTGCTTTGGGATTCCTAAATTCGGTTTACGGAATAGAAAAGTCCCGAAGCAGCGTGGGGAGGGCGACCGCAGCCCCTCGGAGGCCGCCGCAGCACGTTCCCGGAGAGAGCAGCGCGCGTCCCCGCGCCGGGAAACGGAGCGCGCGGCGAGGCCTCGGATTTCGATCGCTTGACTGGAGGGCTGCGAGTCCCAGCCTTTCCCGGGAGAAGTGCGGGCCTTGGCTCAGACGTACACCCTGGCGGGGTTGCGTTTTCTTGAACTCAGATGGTCCCCTCAAGCGCCCAGCCAGCCCAGGCCCCAAGAACAGGCCTGCAGCATCCAGGCCTTCGGGCCCACCCCGGACGACCCTGGGCCTTAGCGCTCCCGGTGCCCTCGCCTAGTTCCGGCTTTAAGCGCAAGGCAAAGATCCTCTCCTCCAGGGGTGCGGCTGGAGCTTGTCATCTCTTTGGTCCCACGTGGTGTGCATGTGCGTGTGCGCGCTTTTGGTTCTGCACTTCAAACTCGCGCCCGCCGGTGGGACCCAGGAAAGAAATGTCTTGTGTCCTTAGGGAAGGACGTGTCCATCTCCAGGGCCCGTGTCCTCAGGTGGTGAAGGGAAAGGTCCTTTGTGACCCGTGGTTCTGCGACGTTACCCCACCGGACCTGGCTAGCGAAGTCCTGCCACTGGGGTGCCCTTCTCTCTCGCACACCCCAGGCCTTCCCTAACCCCGGTTTTCACCAAGAGGCTCCTCCACCCCATCCCCAGCCTGGGGCCAGAGATCAGTCATGGGGCCTCAGAGACTCCTCAAAGGATGCTCGCTCAGGGCCTCCACCCTACTCGTCCCCCAAGAGCTCCCAGCTTGAGGGATGGTCCCTCAGCGCCCCTCAGATCTCCCC